AAGCAAAATGAAAGTAATAAGATAGACGACTTCCTCCTATGACTGTGATCTTGTTTGGACCTGCATTTGTGATTAATAATGAGGCTTGGTTTCCCCAAAAAGGAAACTTTGGTATAAGGGAAAAATTCTTGGCTTAGGGAAACTCCCTCTTGGATAGAAAGATTAGCTAGGTCAGTAAAAAGCTGGTGGTGCATGACCTCTGAAAAAAAATTGCCTATTCTTTTACAAAGACTAAAAGCGATTCAAAAAGCCCTTAAAGATAGATGGCAACAAAATAATAAAGGATATTGAAATAGAGAAAATAATCATATGACTCAAAGAATACAAAACATTCAGGAAGACGTAGCAAAGGGAGAGGAAAAAGATAAATTGGAAAATTGGTTAGACAATGAATAAAAAGAGCTTGTCATTCCCGTTCCCATGAGAAAAATAATTTTCTCAAATATACACGCCAACATGTAAATATTAAATTCAAAGAATTAAAGGGAAAATGAGGACAGGCTATCTTACACCTCTATGGTAAAATAGAAACCGCAAGGCTATAAAGAAAACAATGAAGACATTGCTTGGCCATGTTAAGAAAAGGTTAATCATTGAACTTTGTACTTTCCTTTTACTGTGATTATTGAAAAATATTGTACACTGAGAAATACTGTGCAAACTCATGGTTTGGTTTACGGTCTGATGCTTAGAAGTAGACACAGAAGTAGAAAAAGAAAGAAGATATTCGGGCTGACCTCCCCCAAGCGGGTCAGTCAACAGCCTCTACTAGAACTGCAATTGTGGTTTCTGGTATAGCCATTTCTACCACCACAGTTACCTTCACCCCTTCAGGCCCCGGACTCAGCTGGAGCTGGACTCCGGCAACCAGGCCCAAGAACTTGCCTTTGACCTTGCTAAAAGGGAGAGATGGGGACCGAAAGCTTTGGAGGGATAAGACAAATTCCTATCAGTACTTCCTGAATAAGAGGAAGAAGCTCCAACCAGCCTTCCAAGGTCCCTCTCCTACATCAGTCACTACATTCTCTTAGCTGTTGAAATTGGAATCAATAGTAGGTGTTTGGTGTCAATTCAAAAAACAACATGTAGTACCAGAATACTAATTCCTTGAAAGAGGATAGTATGTTCCTTGTGGTTGGAAGGAGTGTTTGATAGGAAATTCACTAACCCTACACTGAAATAGAGACTTCATGTAGGTGTCCGGAAGAAAAGGGATCCAAGAACTCTTTTTTTAAAATTTATTTTTATTTTATATGTATGTGTATATTGCCTGCATGTAAGTAAGTGCACTCGTGTCGGGCAATGTCTTTGGAGGTCAGAAGAGGCTGTTGGACCCCCTGGGATTGGAGTTACGGACAGTTGTTAGCTGCCATGTGGGTGCTGGGATTCGAACCCGGGTCTTCTGCAAGAACAGTCAATGTTCTTAACCGCTGAGCCATCTCTCCAAAAAAACAACATGTAGTACCAGAATACTAATTCCTTGAAAGAGGATAGTATGTTCCTTGTGGTTGGAAGGAGTGTTTGATAGGAAATTCACTAACCCTACACTGAAATAGAGACTTCATGTAGGTGTCCGGAAGAAAAGGGATCCAAGAACTCTTTTTTTAAAATTTATTTTTATTTTATATGTATGTGTATATTGCCTGCATGTAAGTAAGTGCACTCGTGTCGGGCAATGTCTTTGGAGGTCAGAAGAGGCTGTTGGACCCCCTGGGATTGGAGTTACGGACAGTTGTTAGCTGCCATGTGGGTGCTGGGATTCGAACCCGGGTCTTCTGCAAGAACAGTCAATGTTCTTAACCGCTGAGCCATCTCTCCATCCCCTGATCCAAGGACTCTTAAGTCCACTTATGAAAAGATATTGGGGTGCCACTGCATGATGCAGTGAGTAGAAATAGATAAAATATGGAGAAGTAAAATCTCACAGTTGCAATCTTTAAGATGGGAAAGAAGTAAGAACTAAACTATAATTATAAAGTATATTTTGTCTCAAAGTATCAGACCTATCTGGGAAAAAAATACTGTCATTGGGGTCAATAAATGAGCTTTCTGGAAGTGTCCACTAGAAAGAACAGCTCCGACATTTCCTTGCCTTACAGTAAGTGAAGTGTGTGCACATGAACATCTAAATTTGGGTACAATTTGGGGCCTGCTGAAAATAGCCACATAACCATGATTGTGGAGTGAGATGAGATGCATGTGAGAAATAGGTAATAGAGTGTTTTGCTCTTCTGGATTCAATTCTAATCAGTATGGTTTAAAGGTATTGACAAAGTGGACATGGCAGGAGCTGAGGTCCCCTTAAAATTGCATATCACATTGGAAAGCGTACTGAGTGGGAAGAACAATATTTACTCTAGATACAGAGTAAAGGTCATAAGTGAAATAAGAAGAAATGCATTTTGTATATAAATATTTTAAGGAGTCCCTCTTTTTGACAGTGGAACAAATATCCTTAGCAGAAAGTGAACACAGATAAAGGCTGTGTGAATGAATATCTGTAAGGGATGCCATTTTATAATGGTGAATGAATGAGACACCATCCTCTGGTGGAAGTTGGGAGTAGTGGGGGCAATCTAGAATCCAACTGAATTTGTCTATCTGCAAGAACTATTTGCAGACAGCATGGTGTCTTATAATGCTTGCCAGGCCCAGATGAGTCTAGTAATGCATGCCAGCAACTGTCTGGGTTGTTGCTATTCAAGCCAAAATTCCAAGAACACTCTCCACTTATATTAGTGACTTGTTGGTGAAGCTTTCTGTTTCTTAGGCCTTTAAGAGACAAAACAACATAAGTCCTGCTGCTGAGATGTTCTGGCAACGGAATCTGCACCTGTCATCACTCAGTGTGTGAGAGCCAACAGTAAGAACAATAATGATTTATTTGCTCTAGTAGGCTAACTTTCATCACAAGTGAGTATTTCTACTCTCATTTTACAGATGAGGAAACTAAAGCACAAAGAAGTTAAACAGCTTGTCCACGCTCACACATCCAACAGATGACAGAACTGGATTCAAAACATGAGCTATGTCAAGATCCTGCTCTCCAGCCCTCTGTGCAGCAGCTTTGACTGACGAGTCTTGACTTGAAGGAAAATGTGCACAACTTGAGGAGATAAGGATACAGGAGTGCCTCTTCCTATGGGGAAACACCAGACAGGGGAACTTGAAAGAATAAGCCTATAAATAAAGAAAAATTATCAGGAAACAAAGAAATCAGAGCATGGGAGCACGCATGTGAAACACATGCTTATTAACCCTGGATCTCAAGGGTCCTTTCCTTGTATGATTCAAAAGAATGCCTAAGGCAGGATAAAAGCTCTGCTCCTCCCTGTTCAGTTGTTCTAGAGATCTACCCATCCTCCAGAAGTGACTCAAATGCACTTTTATGAGAGAAGTGTCAACTTGGAAGGTAGGAAATATGCCCAAAGTGGGAAGTAATCATGCCCAGCCACTTTCCTGTTTGCAGTCTCCATCATCCCTACAGTGCTGGGCTTTCACCCTTGGTTAAGTCAGCCATGAGGACAAGGCCATGGGGACCCTACTCCAAACACAGCCAAATTCCATAGCCACCTGTTAGTTACAAAGAAACATATTTAAGACTCAAGGAGAAGCTTTTCCAGGTCCGATTTGAATTTGTGTAAGCAAAACAAAGAATTCAAAATAATTTTAGCAAGCAAAGAAAATGAATAATGTCTGGGCTGCCTCCAGGCCTTGAGACTAGTATTTTTAACAGAGCAGCACCAGGGCTAGTGCTAGGTTCTGTCTCTCTCTCCCGCCTCTCTGTGCATCTGTTTTGCTCTTATTTCTCACTGCAGAACTCTTTTTCCTGCTTTGAAGGAGACTCAGTAGAAAATGACTACCTACGGCTCTTAGAGTTGTGTTACAAGTTTAGGGCTCAAAGACAGAGCTACTGTGTTGGTGTGGCCTCCTGGTTCAATTGCTGTGAGCAGGCAAAAAAAGGTGGATTCCTGGGACCGTTGTCTTCCAGCCTCTCCTGAAAGTTTAAGTGTTCAAAGATGTTTTCAGAGGGAAAGTAAATTCTCCCCCACCTCCCTCTTTTTTTCTTTTCGAGAAGGAAAGGGGCGGTGTACCGCTAACATTAAGATCTTGCAACACTGGACATTTTTCATTTTAAGAAATCCCAGTATCACCAAATCCACACTTTTATTTTTTTTTAAATATTTTATTAATTTTTATCTTATTTTATGTGTATGCATGTATTGCCTACATGTAGGTAAGTGGCACCCTTGTCGTGCAATGCCCGCAGAGGACAGAAGAGGCCTTACGGATCCTCTGGAACTGGAGTTAGGAACAGCTGTTAGCTGCCATATGGGTGCTAGGATTTGAACCTGGGTCTTCAGCAAGAACAGCCAGTGTCCTTAACCTCTGTGTCATCTTTCCAACCTCCAAATCCAAACTTTTAAAACAAGTCAAGTAGGTAGTAGTTACCAAGGGCCTCATTTACAAAACGCTCCTCCAATGGTTTTCTTCTATTTAGCCATCAATCTCTACTTTCCCCATGTGGTTTAGAAAAGCATTCTCGGACTTGTATTTCATAAGCCAATGCAGTTTTGAAAAATAATACAGCTTTAGAAAAAAAATGTAAAGTTTTAAGAAAACATTTGCAATTATAGCGTTTAACCATGCTGGCTTATCAGGTGTGAAGACAGCAGCTCCAGGGCCAGTCTAAAGGCTGGGGCGTGCCCACCCGAGGCCCCGCCTTCCCCGCAGAGGCTAGCCACAGTCGCTCCGGAGGCACTCCCTTCCTCCCTCCGTTGGCTCCGCCTCCCTGAACTTTCCAGTTTTCACTGCAGACAGTCCCAGCAGCATCTAGTTAGCTCCTGCACTCCACACCCGCCCGTAAAACCTAAACATCGCCCGGCAGCGGGAGTCACGTGGCTGGCTGCAGGGCAGAGGGTTCTCTTAGGTTCCCAAGGCCAGTCCCGCCCCCGAGCGCGCTCCTGCCTCGGCCCCGCCCCCGCAGCCTCGCGGCCGCCCCCTCAGACGGCGACGCGCCAGAGGAAGCGCCCGGCAGCGAGCTCCGGGCGCCATTTTGGGTTCGGTTTCTGGGCCGAGGAATAGGGGCCGCTGGCGTAGCCGTGGTCGCTGAGGGAGTCTGGCAGTGACGAGGAGGTCCCGAGGCTAAGGACGCAGACTGCGCGGGACAGAAAAGGGACGCTGGTGGTGGGAAGCCGCAGCCGCAAAGGTGGAGCCGCGTCGGCGTCCGGCGCGGGAGCAGCGTCTCGGATGCGGGCGGAGCGCGGGGGGCCGCGGAGACGGAAGCGCGGAGCAGGGGCTTCGGGAGGCCTCATGTGAGAGCCGCCGCGGGCGCTACCCAGGGTGCTGCGTGGGGGAAGCCGACCCCGGCCGCAGGTACGGCGGAGGGAGGGTGGGCGGAAGGGCGGCGGCCTGGGGCGCGGGCACGGGGACCGTGCTGCGGTTCGGGAGCGCGCGCGCGGGGCGCGGTCGGAGACCTTGGCGCTGGGCGGGTGCGTTATCTACGGACTGGCCTTCTATACTGTCAACCTGGCGTGGTGCGTGCGCGGCGACCTCCCGCGGTTGGGTGGCTGGCGCGATCGTGCTCGCCCTCCGCCTCGCTGGAGCTGGTAGGGCGCAGGGAAGAGCCATTGGAGGCCAGGCCGGGACGGCGGCCCGGGAGGTGGGAACGCCCTGCCACAGCCCAGTGGAAAACTTGGTCAACTTCTGGTGAGTCCTAGCGCCTGCTTTCTGTGTGCGCAGCTGCCGTGGAGCTGGGGCCGCGGTCAACCAGGTGCCCGGTAGTGGTAGGCCCGCAGCTCCGAGCCGAGAGGTGAGCGACTGGGGCTTTGTTGCTAATGGTGTCGGTGTAATTCGCCTAGATCTTTTAATTATGTTTTTTTTTGTTGTTGTTGTTTTATTATTATCCTTGAACTGTTTATAAAAATGCCATCTATTCCCGGTATTCCATATGGGTGACCGCTGGATTTAGTTTTCACGTCTTTAATGTCTTGTATTTCAGCCGAAGAATGCCTATTAGCCAAAGCAAGAGATGATCAGGACATGATGGAAATACGATGCTAAGGCAGACGTTTAGAGCTTAAGTGTAAATGGTGTTTTAAAACCACAGCATGCCTGTGTATACAGATGTCCAAGCAAGGCACACCCAGCTAAGTGCTTATTAGTTCTCTGTCAAATTGACTCCTGGTTTATGGAGTTGTTGAATTAGCACAACTCGTTGGTGCTGCTCAACGAGTTGGAAGATTTTCTTCATGAGTGTGCTTTTTGGGCACTTGCTAATAATATCAGCAAAAGTTTTAACTACCATAGTTGTACGTTTTGGGTTTCTGAAATACTGCAGGAAAATTCATTGATGTTTATTGTCCTGCTTTAGCACTCCATGCTACCCCAGTTTTAATTTAAGAAGCGTTTTCAGCCGGGCGTGGTGGCGCACGCCCGTAGTCCCACCACTTGGGAGGCAGAGGCAGGCGGATCTCTGAGTTCAAGGCCAGCCTGGTAGTTCTAGGACAGCTGGGGCTACAGGGAGACCCTGCTTCAAAAAGACCAAAAAAAAAAAAAAAAAGCGTTTTCACTTTGACTAAGAGGGCTGTATGTATAAAGTCCACTGATGTAAATTATTTGTATACTAGTGAATGCTGTGAATTAACTCTGTTCAGCAGTTTCATGTGTAAATAGTGAACCAAATAAAAAGCATTGGGAATTTTGAATGAAAACTAACTTGGGCCAGGCTTGGTGGTGCATGCCTTTAATCTTCAGCACTCTGGAGGCAGAGGCAGGCTGATCTCTGAGGTGGTGGAGGCCAGTCTCTGGTCTACATAGTGAATTCCAGGCCATCTGAGGCTTCAGGGAGACCCTGTCTTGAAAAAACTGAACCTCCTTCTCCCCCCCAAAAAAAACCAATAAGAAAAAAATAACTTGGAAAAGATATTTAAAATTTTACTAGGTGTTCCTTCACTGATGTTATTTTCATTCCTAAATGAGGATAGTACTTATATCTTAACAGTTGATCTTGTTTTTCTATTCATATAATTATGACAACTTCATAATGCCTATGACAGTGTACATACTTTTTCAGCTACTTATTAACTAGTAAGTTCTTTGGTACTTATACTTTGGTAATTATGTATTTTGTTTATATTTAGATCAAGAGCATGCTGTTCGTTAGCATTGGATATTTGTATGTTGTCATCTGTGATCTGCCCCTCCCCAAACATGGAATGATATTGATACTTCATTTAAAATAGGGCTGTAATGAAGATTTGCTATCTTTAGGACTAACAAAATATTGTTCAAATTTATTGTATGACTAAGACTGCCATTTTTTTCCCCCCGAGTTCATATACTTAAAATGAACCATTTAGAGAAAAAATAAAATAAAACCCACCATTCCTTCCAAAGGAACCATTCAATCTGTCCTTAAGTTGAATAGTTCTGGTTTTAGAGAGTTTCTCGAAAACAGCTGATCAGCATCCCACAATAAGGGCTAGAAATTAGTAGGACTGCTTCATTCTGCTTTGAATCAGTCAGAATTCTGAGTAGTTTTTGTAAGGAGAAATTATAAGTCTTTGGTAGCACATGCTTAGTTCTTTGACCCAAATTTGTAAATGCTAAATTTAGAGTAAACCTTCTGGATAAATTAAAGTAGGAAAATGGGTCATAGTGAGTGTGTTATCTTTAGTGGTTTTTTTTTAGTCTTTTTGAGACGGAGTCTCCTTGTAGCCCCAGCTGACCTGGAACTCACTGTGTGAAGAGGACATCAGATCCCCTGGAACTGGATGGAGTTAGGGACAGTTGTTAGCCAACATGCGGGTGCTGGGAAGCAAACCCAGGTCCTCTGTAATACGTTGAAGAAACCACATTCTAGTATCCTTAGATGACTCTTAAGAAACAAGAAAGGGGAGGCTGGAGAGTTGGCTCAGCGGTTAAGAACACTGGCTGTTCTTGCAGAAGACCTGGGTTTGAATCTCAGCACCCATATGGCAGCTAACAACTGTCTGCAACTCCAGTTCCAGGGGATGTGACAGCCTCTTCTGTCCTCTGTGGGCATTGCATGACACGGGTGCACTTACATACATGTAGGCAATACACTCATACACATAAAATAAAAATAATAAAAAAATATTTTAAAAAATGAGAAAGGGGTGCTCGGGGACGGGGCCTGGGCAGTCAGCACCTGCCTGGCTCCCTGGGTTAAGGATGGTGCTGGCCTGTGCTGTGTGGGAGTTCCTAACTGGTCCTGCTCTGGGTTGTCGGGAGGAGCACACTCTTGGCTGTAACTGCTCCAGGTGTGAAAGTTTACAAGACATTGTCAATGGATCACTGCTCCTACATCTTTTCTGGCTGCAGCTAGGGCTCTAAGCCGTGGCATTGCTGCTTACCAAAGGAGAAATGCTATGGTGATGCCACTCACAGTGTGGCAATTGGTTACTTGTTTAAGTCTGAGCTCAGTGCCTGCTTCTCCAGACTTCTCATCCACAGAACAACAATTCCTGCCTGGACCCTTCGAAAGCACAGCAGACATCTGCCAAGCCAAACAGGCCTCAAACCACTCCTGCCCCACCATACCTACATTGGAATGCTGTCATGAAGATGTGCAATTACCGAGGGCTACATGACAGACTCTCTCCTCTGAAGAGTGAAACCTCTGGACAAGGAAACAGGTATCAGCATGATGGTAGCAGAGACTTCATCACCAAGGTGCAGGAGCTGACTTCTTCCAAAGAACTGTGGTTCCAGGCAGCTGTGATCGTAGTTGCTGGCTGGTGGGCTGATTTTAGTGTTGCTCCTCATGGTGCCTTGAGGATGCTGGGAAGTGAGAACTGCAGGATCAGTGGCAGCAGATGCTCTCTTGTTTGCACAGTACCTTTCATGGACACCATCCTAAGAAGGGGCAGGTGACAAAGTTAGACTTGGAGTGCATGGTGTGCGTCAGTGGGCAGGAAAACTGCTGTCCGACCTCAGCAAGGAAAAGAGTCTCTCCTTCATGCACTGTGCATGTGCAGTGGTCACGGGAATTGTATGAGGGTTGTATATGAAGTAGAAACTTCTTGAACCCTTGAAGGCCTTCTGAGTTTTGCTGGCCTGGAGCTCATTGTCTGGAAACAAAACTATTCACGTAATCTAAATCTTGAGAAAGAATGATCTCTACAAAGAGAATCTTGGAATTTCTTCTGAAGCATTATTTGCATAGACTCCTACAGCCAAATGGATTATTTGCTTTAAAATTAAAAGAAGAAGAGAGGACTATGTACACACTATTACCAGGGTTATTTGCATCTCAGGGAGCGGGAATTGAATACCTAAATAAATGAAATGTGTTCTGTGTAAGCTCCTGCATCTTTATTGTAAAGATTTTTAAAATGTATATTTTCTGGAGAAAAAAAAGAAATGAGAAAGTATCACTGTAGATTTCCTTCTATAGTCACTTTACATAGTTGACTGGAACTTTTGAATTACAATTTTTGGTGCACTTTAAATCATAAGTAGTGTATATTTGAAGGTAGATAATTCAAAATCACTTGCCAAGAATGTATAGAAGTTACAAAACCATAGTTGGTCTACAGACCATTAGCATTTTTCATTGTATTTTTATATTCTTGAATTGTTGGTTCACTTTTTTGTGCATATTTCTGTTTAACTCTACAAATATAAATGCACATCTCAGTGATAAAAAAATGAATATTGGGTTTATTTGTGATTAGAAGTTAAGAAGGCTGAAAAAAAATGATTTTTTTTTTTCAACATAGGATGAAACGTGGAGGAGGAAGAGACAGTGACCATGATTCACCTGAAGAAGGCCCTGCAGAGAAACCAAAGAAACTGAGGACTACACATGAGCAGTCTCAACCTTGTGACTGGGGTAATCTCCTGCAGGACATTATTTTGCAAGTATTTAAGTATTTGCCTCTTCTTGACCGGGCTCATGCTTCACAAGTTTGCCGCAACTGGAATCAGGTATTTCATATGCCTGACTTGTGGAGATGTTTTGAATTTGAATTGAATCAGCCAGCTACATCTTACCTGAAAGCTACACATCCAGAGCTGATCAAACAGATTATTAAAAGGCATTCAAACCATCTACAATATGTCAGCTTCAAGGTAATACTTTAAATTTTTCTGTTAAGAAGTAAAGCATTTTTACTGGCTTTATATATATGTATGTATGTGTAAATGTATATATAGTCAGGGTTGAGATGGACAGATTGTAGGGGAGAGAGTGTTTGAAAAGATGTTCTCTAAAATGATAATGCAGTGAACTGATAACTATATTTATAGAATTACGATATGCAAAGAGAAATGTAAATATGTGCGTGAGTAAGACATGTTTTCTTTTCTAAGGTGGACAGCAGCAAAGAATCAGCTGAAGCAGCTTGTGATATATTATCACAACTTGTGAATTGCTCTTTAAAAACACTTGGACTTATTTCAACTGCTCGGCCAAGCTTTATGGATTTACCAAAGGTATCTGCTGGTTTTGCTTTATTAGCTATCACAGAGAAAGCCAGTGAAAACCTCAGTGTTGTTAGAGTTGACAGTGAGAGTATGACAAAAGTTGTATGTGTAATGGAATCCTGTTCAGAATGTGAAGAAATAATATTTAAAATATCCTTTTAAAATTACTTTGTTCTTCATTGGTGAAGTTAAAGAATAAATGAATTTACAGATTATCCAGGAAGGATTGAAAGAAACTGAGTAAATAAAATGAGGGAAAACCTATCAGAAAAAAAGAAACATAGATGATTCTTTTTGAGCTTTCTAATTGTTGCAATTAGAGTTAAAAGTAGAAAATGCCAGTAGAGCCTACTTTCAAACCCTTCTGGTAAATGTACTGGAAAGGTTTATTTTTGAACAAAGAATGTCAGCATAGCTTAGATTAGCTTATAGATTTTATTTCAAGAAACCATTTATTTTTGTAACAGTTTGTTAGTGTATATGTTCTAACAAAGTCTCATACATGATTCAAGATAGTCTCTACCTTACAACTATTTTCCTAAAAATAGTTATTTTTTTACATCTATTTTTTTATGGGGAGGTATTGTACATGTGCTGGGGTCAGGGACAAATTAAGCTTGTACTTTTCCATCTACTATGTGGATTCCAGGGATTGAAGTCAGGTTGTGAGGCTTGATGGCAAATGTTTTTACCAGTTGATCCATCTTGCCAGTCCACAACTATTCTCTTTGAAACAGAAAAATAAGAATTGTCCCTTCTTGATAAAGGCCCCTCATATGCCAGCTAATGTTTAGTATGTTAGTATCCAATAGTGATTTGTGTGTGTGTGTTGCTGAGGATACACTTAGATCTCACAAGTGTTCTACTATTTGAGTTATACCCCAGATCAGTCACCAGCAATTTGAAAAAACGTTTGTTTTCTTTTATTAATGATACCATAAGCTAAGTTATGCAGATTTTTTAAAAGGGTACAGTTTAATTTACTAGAGTGACTCAGGAAGGAGTATTATTAGTAAATTGTACATCATGACCTAGGTGATTGTTCAATTGAAGAGCAATACCAAATGAAACATAATGATTTTAAAGCCTCTAATTGATTTTTAATTTTCATTAAGTCTGTACATTTTAGATAGTGTTTTCTCATAGGCTAAAGAACAAAATATGAGCAAGAGAATCTGTTCAACATTTTAAGATTCTAAGAACTTGAGTTAAATGCATAATTCCTGAATTTGTTTGATTCCAGGCCTTCTGCAAACAGTCTGCATGCTTCTCACTGAGATGGTTGTTAGGGTTTCCTCTATGAAACTCAGTTACACAGTTACTGATTAAGTTACTTAATCAAAATTGCAGTAATCATTTATTTAGTAACAGTGAGGATAAAGTAAATTGAAGAATGTGACCAAGAAGGTATTTTCTTGTACTTTTCTTGTCTGTTAGCCTGGCTTCATCCTCTGACACTGCTGTGGAGAATTTATAAAGGTAGGTGCAAGATAAGATTGGTTACATAGACATTATGATGGAGCCTGCCTTGGTTTTTCTTCCCTTTCCCAGGTTATTTAGCTATTGGTTGTAGCTTATTTCAGTTCTGAGTCAAAGTCTGAACATGCTTTAATGCTTATTTCTGTATAGTGGTTCCTTTTGATCAGATCTGTGTTCAACAGATGTTTATGAAAAGTTGAAGGATACTCTTTAATATATTTATGAACAAAATATCAGGCAGAAGTCTGAAACATTTTAGATATTTTAAGAGAGTTTTAAATATGGAATTTTTATGATTTTGGTTGTTTTGAAATTAATTTTGATATGTTTCCATGTTCCAAGTGAGTTATAACTTTTGAATTGATTAAATTGTAATGACTGTGCCAGTAGTTTCTGTTTAGATGGTTATTACTGTGTGATGTTGTAGCTTCCAAATATGATGATGTGTTTGAAAGAGATTCTTACTCTGGGTTCCAGGGTTCTCAAACTTAGAAGGGATTGCAAGTGATTTAGGGACATTCTGAGGCTTAAAATTACATTTTCTTCCATAGGTTAAAAAAAGGCTTTTCTCAGAGGTGGAAATGAATCCTCTTTCTTGACCATACTTTAGAGTGCAGGGGTGCTACCTTTTCAACAGTTTCAAAATTCATTATTAGATGGGCCATATCTGGCTTTGTAGGTGAACCTTTAAGAATTGTCATTTCTAAAACACTGAAACAATGTTTTACTCTTTTGTCTTGCAGTCTCATTTTATCTCTGCGTTGACTGTTGTGTTTGTAAACTCCAAATCTCTGTCCTCGCTCAAGATAGATGATACCCCAGTAGATGATCCATCCCTCAAAGTGCTAGTGGCCAACAACAGTGATACACTCAAGTTGCTAAAAATGAGCAGCTGTCCTCATGTCTCTCCAGCAGGTATGTTGTGTTTTTTGCCAGGCATTTTAATAAAATACATTGTTTATCAAATAAAAAAAACTGTTTAATGGTTTTAGTAGTTCTGTTAGTGCACTTGTGGGTGGGTTAATAAGATTGTTTTTCTCCTGAATAAACATCTTTGGTGTTGTAATACAGTTTAGCATAGTAGTATTTTAGCCTAGGCTGATTTGCCACCCTATTTTCCCATTAGTTTATTTGGAAAATTGAGTATAGCATGTGATAGAAAATTAATAAATACAGCCGGGTGTGGTGGCCCATGCCTTTAGTCCCAGCACTTGGGAGGTAGAAGCAGGTGAATTTCTGTGAGTTCAAGACCAGTCTGGTCTACATAGTGAGTTCCAGGCCAGCTGGGGCTACAGGGAGACCTTGTGTCAAAAAGACCAACAACCCCCCCCCCCATTTAAAATAAAAAGAAAATGAATAAATAAAGTGAGGAAAGAGGGGGAGAGGTTTATTAGCTCCTTGATGCTGGGACAAAATACCTGACAAGTGTGACTTAAAGAAGGAAGGGTCTACTTTTGCTCAGAGTTTGAGGATACAGGCCATAATGGTGCAGAAGGCATTGTGGCAGGAGCATGAAGTAGCTGGTCACATTACATCATCTGCAGTCAGGAAGCAGAGGTGAAGTGGGACCCAGTTAAAAACCACAAGGCCTTCCCCTAGTGACTCATTTCTTCCAGCTAGGCCCCACTCTCTTATTTTTATTTTATGTGTATGAATGTTAATGCCTGCATGTATGTAAGTGTACCCATGTCGAGCAATGTACATGGATGTGAGAAGACAGCATCGGAGTGCCCTGAAACGAAAGTTATAGATGGTTGTTAGCTGCCATGTGGATACTGGGAACCAAACCGTGGTACTCTGGAAGAGCATCTCTGAGCCCCCCTGAGCCATCTCTCCAGCCCCCTTACATCGTCCTCTTTTGATTCCTTCCTGTCTTTTATTGTGCTGTTTAGCAAAGTAGTCTTTTTATGTTCTTGCCATAACTAAGGGTTGGCATTCCCGCAGGGAAATGACTCTGTATTGAATGGAAATCTCTTGCTTGCTCTCCCAAATCACTCACGAGGGTCTAGGTGATAGAAAAGCTAGATCTGTTTAGTTGTCTTTTTTAGATTATCAATAAGTATTACAAAATAGAAGCTAAGACCGGTCTTTGGAAAGTATTTTATTTGTGACCTTGATCACATTTTATTGTCTGCATTACAGGCCTGCTCTGAGAGTAAGGTCCATATCAAATAGCTTCATATTGTACAAGGTCCTTTGTATCTTGACCGCCACCTATCTTGTTCGCTGTCCTTTCACTAGAGCCCTATGGAACTGCAGGGTTTTTTTTGGGGGGGGGGGGGGGGTTTTTTTTTTCACTCGCGTGTTTTTTTTGGGGGGGGGGGGGGATGTTTTGTTTTTTGTAACCTTGGAGTATTGTTAGTACGCTGTACCTTTCTGTCTCTGTCTCTGTCTCTGTCTCTGTCTCTCTCTCTCTCTCTCTCTCTCATATATATCCCCGCCTTAAATTTATTCATCCAGTTGACTGTAGTACAGCTTTCAAACTTCAGCTTAAGTTATCCATTTAAATTCCTTTCTCGTTTAACTCTCCCGTAGGCATCCGTGTTTCCATAGTATTCTGAACATAACAGCATTTATCTCACTGAAAACTAGAATCTTTGGGTCTAAGGTTTCTCTGAGAAACTAAGCCCATTTTTCTATCCTGGTATACCTCATACTCACTTTTTTATGAAATATTTACATGAATTTTATAGTAGTGTACGTTTGCTTGGTCCCATCTAATGGCTTTTGGACTAGTTCAATAAGGAAGGAAAAAGAAAGACCATTTCTTACATAAATTTTGATTGCAAAGTATAACTACGTAATTTTAACTTAAAATCTTATTTGCATATATTGAATAGCTTCTTAGAGTTGGAATTCTGAACTTTTCTCTTGTACATCACTGAACATTTTATCAGTTTTCTATTTGTATATGGCTGTTATAATTGTCTATAACTAGACCTCTAGGTACCATGTGACAACAACTTGCTTCTTTGTTACACTCTGGATTGCTTTCTTGATTGTTGTTTCTTTTAAAGCTTTCTTGTATTATTTTTATAAATTTTTTAAAGTGTGTGTGTGTGTGTGTGTGTGTGTGTGTATGTGTGTGTACATGCTCATGTGCCATGGCATGTGTGTGGAGGTGGACAACTGAAGATCAGACTCGGGTCATCAGACTTGGTGGCAGGTACCTTTACTGACTGAGCCGTTTTACAGGCCTGAAACTTGTTTTTGTTTCACCTATACTAGCTACTTTCTTTGTTAAATTCTATAAACTCTGGGCAGTGTCATTGTCTTTCACTGTGTATTAGTACCTTGTAATATCACTGAAACTACAGAATTATGAGTTAAACTGCTGGCCCAGTGTTCTAAAATGTTTTGCTGCACTTCAAAATAAAGAACTTTCTTTCTGTCCATTTTCCAAATCTCTTACTTTGCTCTGCCCCATCCCACCCCACTTCACTTCTCCCTTCCTCCTCCCCCTCCCCTTTCTTTCCCTTCCCCCTCTTCCCCCCTTTCCTCCTCTCCATTTGTTTTTTTGCTATTAGTGATTTGCACAACCCATCTAGTCACTGAGATCTGGCAACTCTTATCAAACCAAATATGCCTTGCTTGTGCCTTTCTCCATCTCTGTACTAACTTCTCTAGTTCAGACCACCACAGTCTGCACAACACCCTGTTAACTGGTTTCCTATTTGTCAGCATAGCTCCTGTGTAATGTGATTCTGTGCAAGAGTAATTGTGTGTGTGTGTGTGTGTGAGAGAGAGAGAGAGAGAGAGAGAGAGGGAGAGGGAGAGACTTGTTAGTGTGGGTGTATACACATGCATGTAGGTGCGTTTGCATGTGTGTTCATGAATGTGGAGGCCTGGAGGGGTGTGGGTATGTTACATGAAATTCACTTGTTAGTGTGTATATGCATGCAGTGCATTTTCATGTGTGCATATGCATGCAGAGGTCAGAGGTCTTGCTCTTTATGAGAAGAACTAATGAATGATTAGTTACTTAGTATTCTACCTTGTTGATAAGCCAACGTTTGCATTTTATAGATCTTTTAGATTGGATGCTTGTTTCTAGTTTTTTTGCTACGATTTTAAAAATAATATTTTGGCATGTAGCTTTTGCTATTGCTATGCTCTTTCCCCAAGTAAGTTGTGTTAATTTATACTACCAATGTACCATTGTCATAGTACTTTTACTGAAAAAGAATTTATATGCCAGGGCTGAGAGATGGCTCAGTGGTTAAGAACACTTGCTGTTTTTCCAGAGAACCCAGGTTTGATTCCCAGCCACCCACATGGTGGTTAACAGTCATCCATAACTCCAGTCCCAGAGGAATCCAATGCCCTTTTCTGACCTCTGTGGGCATCGCACAACACAGGTGCACTTGTATACATGCAGGCAATATGCTCATACACATAAAATAAAAATAAATAATAATATAAGAAAGAATATGGGGCTGGAGAGATGGCTCAGCAGTTAAGAGCACTGACTGCTCTTGCACAGGACCTGGGTTCACTTCCCAGCCACCCACATGGCAGCTACAAGCTGACTTTAACCCCAGTTCCAGGGGAATTCAATGTCCTCTTCTGACCTCCAAGGCATTGCACAACATGGGTGTACTCACATACATGCAGGCAATATACTCATACACATAAAAATAATTTTAAAAAATGAACAAATAAATTTTATAAGACAGTATATATGCTATATAACTCATAATTCATTATAAAGTGTGCAATTTATTGGCTTTTAGTGTGCTTACAGAGTAGTATATACATCATCACCACTGTGAATTTTAGAACATTTTTATTATCCCCAAAGAAAGCATAGCTGTCACCCCCTAGAAACTTCACTTCAGTCTCTTAGGCAGCCACTGCTCTGTTTTCTGTCTCTGAAATTTACCAGTACTGGATATTTCACATAAATGGAAATATACCATATGTGGTGTTTTTGTTTTTGGGGTGTGTGTATGTGTAAGTCTGTTTGTCTGTCTGACTTCTTTCACTTAGCAATCAAAGTTCAGGGTTTATCTATGTTAGATAATATATTAGAATTCCATTCTTTATTGCTAAGTAAGCATCCATTATCCGGATATAGCCCATTTATCTGTTGATCAGTTAGTGGATAGTTGAGACGTTTTCTTCTACTTTTTATAATTTTACTTATTTTATTACATTATTTTTATGTGTATGAGTGTTTTGCCTGCATGTGTGTAGATGGACTACATACGTGCAGTGCCCACAGAGGCCAGAAGAGGGCATTGGATCCTCCTGGTTACTGATGATTGTTAGCTACCATGTGGATGCTGGGAACCGAACCTGGTCTTCTGCAAGAGTAGTCAGTGCTCTAAACCACTGAACCATCTCGTCAGCCCATTTTTTTCTTCTTTTTGGATAACATGAATAATGCTTGTATGACCATTCATATACAGTGTTTGTGTGGGCATATTAATTTCTCTTGTATACCTAATTGTGGGATTGCCAGATCATTCAGTAACTGTTTACTCACTTGAGGAACTGAATGTCAACACTAGTGTTAGGATAGTAAAGTTACCACAGGATCAAGTCATCCTTCTCCTAACAGGGAAGCAGCAAATAATTAAACAAGGATGTCTTCTGGGAGCTCCAAACCAAGACATCAGGGAGGATTCTCCAGAACAAAAACAGTGAAACCTAAAAAGTTGGGATGAAGGTAGAGAACTGCCATTTTACTTTCCTTTTGTATGTCTTCAGTAATCCTGTTTATCTTTTTCATTACACCCATCCTGGTTGGTTGGTGTGAACTAATATCCTTGGGATTTGCATTTTCTTGGTTTGCTGAGGGCAGATGGCTCAATCGCTAAGAGCCTAGCTCTTGCAGAGGACCTGGGTTTCAGTTTCTAGCCACCTACATGGAAGCTAACAACCATCTGTTAACTCCAGTTCCAGGGGATTTG